AGACACAAACACAATATTGTATATTTGTATATAAGATTATTATTACATAAATATATTTTTAAAACAATTTTCATAATTGAGGTTTAATGTTTTGGATTTGGAGGTGGAGGGACAACCATTTCTGGTGATATTAGCTTTTGTACTATATTTGCCGCTCCTCAGCCTCTCTCTTTCTTTGTTTTTGTCTTATGTTTTCTTGGGTGTTGTACTGTTTGCTGGAAGGAATAAAAAAAAAGACCTGTAGGCACTAAGCACATATGGGCACATATAGACACACACAACACAAGGACACACATAGAGGTATAATAAGAATACTAGAGCGCTAACTGTAATGTATTTGATGTTCCAAATAGGCAGAGGTGTGTGTCTGTACCATCCAAGATGCCTGCCGTAGATTCAGCCATTAAAAATTCGGCCAAGCATCATCATTTTCAATGGCGCCCTCAATTTACACAAGTTGAGTACAACTAAATTACCCGTATGTTGAAACTCAAGCGTTGCGCTGTATGAGTGTAATGTACACGATTTCAATTTCTCAGTACTTTATTTTTAAATAAGATAATCCACTTGGCCTATTTTTGGCTACTAGAGTTTAATAATTTATTAATATTATTAATAATAAATATATATGAAATAATAGCTTGTGAGAGGGCTTATTTATGATTATAATATGTATACTATGCCTGAAGGTGGTGCTTTCCTACGGAGGCCATTTTGGATGGTACACATACACAACTCTGCATTGCTTCGTCACCTTGTCAGCACTCTAGTTATTTAATAGCTCTATGGGACAGACACACCACGTGTAGGCACACACACTATGTGGACAGACACATCACCTTACCTGGAGCCCAAGATATTGAGTAGATGACTCCTTCATTGCCATGCGAGGCAAGTGCACACGTCATGGTGTTCACATCCCAAACTTTGATAGTGCCATCAAAGGATGCGGTTGCTAGGTAGTCTGCATTGTCTGGTTTAAACTGACACTCAAATATTGTCTCAACGTGTCCCTGGCATAAATCAAAACAAATAATTGTGTACTGTAAATATATTTAGCAGCATGACATTATTAACTTAATCAGAATAATGGACTATGAGCATATACGTGTATATTCTCTGAAAAATTAATGAGGAATAAAAAAACAAGTTGACACTTTGCAATGGAGTAATTAGTCACAGAATTACTGTTCAACCTTTTACCACAGCACTCTCTTTACAAAGTACCGGATACACTTTCTTCTCTGCAAGGAACCACAATAGTTAACACAGCACTATATTTTCAATTACATGTTTACATTGCAAGAGATTAACAATTCAAAGGATGCCCTAATTAAATTGGTTTCAATTTAGTAATGAGACAAATAAAAGTAAACAAATTACCATATCTCTCAAAAAGTCCCAACTTCTTTTGGCAAAATTATAGAGTCCAACACCACCATCAAGGAATGTACAAATCGCATGACCTGGAGGCAACATGTAGGACGTTGAACTGTC